ACTCATCCCCGCCCCCCTCCCCCTGCTGCAGTTTTCTCTCAGATACTTCCGAATTCCCAGTACATGTGACTGATACTCACATTTCCTTTCTCAGCCTCTAAGGCGGTCTGAGAAAATGCCTATAGTTTTACAATTCCTACACATTTAATTTCAGCTCAGAAAGAATTTCAAGATCAGGGCCTGATCACTGAAATTTTACAAAAGTTAAGCTTAAGTTTCGTAGATGTGAGGTTGCTGGTCTTAGTTAAAGCCCAGCTTAGCTTCAATGACTTCTTCAAGTTATCCATTCACCCAGCAGCTGTTCATTGCTATGGTATCAAAGTAGCTGGTATCTTTTACTTCATTCTCTGTTATGGTGGCAGTTTTACATTTCTCCGCAGAATTTCTCAGTGGACAAGAAAATAGTTCTTTAACTATTGGAAAGACCTGATACCTTCAGACTAAAAATGAATAACTTTTACTGCACACTCACTGTGACCAAACCTTGAAGCCTTGTTTGACCTGTCAGTCGGGCTAAAGGCTGATCCATTTTGGTGGAATTTTTTCTTAAATAAGGACTGCAAGACTGCATTTGTCATATGAGCCAGTCTGCACATTCCATGATTATTTACTGTTTTTATTGCAGTAAATAGGGATGTTAAGAGGCGGGGTAATCCCCTAATTGTGTAGTCAATAACAATTTTATAGACTACATGATTAATCAGTAAGGGAAGGCTGCTGCAGCTCCACAGTTTAAATGTAGTAAGAGCCAGATGTGCAGGCAGCCCAGCTCCTACTACATTTAAGCTGCAGTGGAGGTAGGTCCCGGACTCAGCACAAGCCGGGACTGAGCTGGGACTGCTCAGGGTCACAAACAGGGGCTGCTGCCAGATAGAGGCAGCAGTGGGGAGGCAGGCAGCACTGCAGAGACAGTGCTAGGGGGAACCGGTTTTTAAGCCTGATACAGAGGCAGCGGTAAGGGGGAGGGGGAAGGAGAATAGTTGAATAGTCGACTACTTGCTTACATCCCTACCACCCGCATCAGGAATATGTTAAATATTGTATAACTTTTACTTAGTTTAAGTAAATATATTTCTTCTGCTGAAAGCTATCCCTATGGGAAAAATAATAAGCATAAATAGAGCTCATAAAGAGTTAAATTTGTGCTTCTTATAGTAATTTAGCTAAAACCATATGAAACACAATCTTTTCAGAAGCAAAGCTTATTTTACTCATTTAAAAAATTAGCACTAACTTTTCATTGCCCTATCAACAATGCCATTTCTACAGGATGGAGGAATTACTCATAGGAGACTATGAAATAAGAGAGGAAAAAAGTAACTCACCATAGGAAACAGGACATATTCGCGGAGGAAATCATGAGATTCAAACTGATTACAGTCACCAAAATCCGCTGGAAAAACAACACCACATTTACTCATATTACATAGCACTTTCCATGGATATTAAAACCTGGACCTTATGAACCTTTGATTCACATGCTTAACTTTAAGTATGTGAATTGTCCCACAGAAATCAAGTGTTTATAGAATTGAGGTCTTGAACAACAGTTTAAAAAAATCTTTTTTTCCCCCATGTCCAGGCCTGAGATAAGGGCCTAAGGACAGTTAAAGACGGACCTGTGCATAATTAGGATTTGTCTTTACTACCTGGTGGATTGATGCTGCAGCAATCGATCCATCAAAGGGCAATTTATCTTGTCTGCTTAGACGTGATAAATCGACCACCAAGAGCTCTCCCGTCGACTCCGATAGGACGAGAAGTGTAGCTGGAGTCGACAGGAAAGCAGCCCCTGCTTATCTTACCACATGGAAGACACTGCGGTAAGTATGCTGACTTAAGCAGTATTACTGGCATAGCTGAAGCTATATAGGCTAGATTGACAAGAGGAAGGAGCAGAGGGCCTGACACAAGCAGCTTCCCCTTTTGTCTTGCCATTCCAGGGCCAGCCTCAATTGAAGTGCCCCACTCCATGAAGCAGGGCTTGCCAAAAGCTGGTCCAACACTTTATTTTCTTATGCTAGTACTTCCCTCTCATTTGCCCCCTCTCACCCTCTATCCATTAGGGAGCTGAAACAATCTTGGCACTCACAGCATTGCTCTTAGTCATGTACAGGCAACACCCAAAAGATAATTATTGTTCAAATGTTCTTAAAATAGTGCAGTTTTGAAAGTGCTTCCTAAAAATTAAAATGCTTTTTCTAACATACACAAAAATTATGTCTATATTTATCTATTTGTTAAACACACAACAGCTTATAACTAAAGAATGAACTTGCTGGAAGGTTATTTTATTTTAACTGAACCAGATCAAACATCATTTACAAAATCTAGTATTTTAGAAGCTGGAAATCCCTACCATAAATCACATTAGAAAAACATTTTTGCAAAGCTTTTAGACAATTTCATGTAATGCCAAAGATGCATTTTCATTTTTTTTACCTCACAGAGTTATGTTTCAGAAACAGGGAATTAAAATGGACATTAAAATACAAAATATGCAGTTAAAAATAACGGTGTGTCCGCCAAGTCGATTTAGTGGATCATGCAAAAGATCAAAGACAGCACTACAGTGTTAGGAGTAAAACAACAAAAACTAGAATAAATGTCCAACACAGCTATCAATCATAATAACAGATTTTGCAGAAAATTCAAAGCAAAATAAGTGATTATTACTCAAACCATTTATAGAGACAGGAGAATGGACAATTGTATGGTAAGAGATGCCTGCACAGAGCCACTGGAAAGGCCCCAAACTGAGACAGTGGAATTTGATTTTGTGTCTGTCCATCACCAATTCTTCACCTTACACTGTAGGAAAAACCACTTAAACCACACTGCAAAGCTCAGGATGAACATATATTTCAGCCAATGGTCAATAGAAAAGATTAGGATTTGCTTCTGAACACCCAATAGGGCATTACAATGGTATTTCTACCAGGATTTGTAAAAATATTAACTTCCTCAATATTACTACTCTTTACCTATTCCACAGCTTTCATCCTGGGCTCTCAGAATGTCCTACACAGGTGGATACCAGTATTCCTACCCTAAGGCAAAGAGTAAGTTAATGACCTGGTGTTCAAGGTGATGAGACTCCACAGTTCTCACTGATTTCAGTAGGGATGAAAGATGCTCAGTAGCCTTTAGGCAACTGAGTGGCTATCAGATGAGGTAATACACATGTTCTCTACTGCCAGGTCCTTGTTCTAATCACTAGACCATGAAGAAGTGGAAGTTCCAGGTCATAAATTAAGCTCTAGAAAATTTCATCTCAGCAACAGAATGCTTCACAAGTCAGTAGAAATGGGATGATCACATGTTCAAATAGGGACCCATTGTACCACAAAAAATCTTTCATTTATGAAAAGCCAGTAACTGTGTCTTAGCTACTGTATATACAATTACCTGATTTTAACATTTACATCTGAATTCCTTTCAGCAAGTACATCAGATGCATCAGGTTATGACATTGTATCATTAAGGTTAATTTTGAACTAGACAGTCTGAGAGACATTATAACTTAAAACATATTTATTTTTCCATATTGTAGGTATTCTTTTTCTCTCTCTCCTTGCTAGGCCCAGAGTAAAATCAGCCAATAGTCAGCTGTAAATTAACAATAATCCACTTAACAAAAACCACTATTACGTACTCTGTAGTACTTCTAATAGTAAGTGAGGCAAAGTGAATTTTAAATTCAAAGCAAAATTAAAACTTCTAGTTTGGCTGAAAATGGAATTACTCTGAAAATAGAATTTGAAAAACAGTCAGCTCCCATCTTTTCTGCAAAGTAGTCAACTATTACTGAAAGAAGAATCTAGATTTGTTGGTTGTTAATTCAGAAAATCCAGTGTTGGAGCTGAAAAACGTTTACATGTACTTATGATCCAATCATTCAACACCTGAGAGTACAAGTAATTCATCATCTAAAATTCAATTCTACTCCTACTGAAATCAATGGAAAGACTAATGATAATTAACATGTATTGGACTGGGCTTAATTAGTGTCAAATAAATACTTAGAATTAACTGTAGAGAGCAAAGTTGGAAGAGGACTAGCAACTAATTAAACTTTACCTTGCACAGCTAAGCCAGCCAACCGGATCCCCTGATCCAATGAAGAACGTAATCGACCATCAAGAACATCTTTTTTCACTTGTAGGTAATACTGATACCTGTAAGTAAGTGAAACAAAACAAGACATACTTGAATATTCTCTACAAAATGAAGATTGCTGAAGATACAATATTTTGCATAGATTGTATACAATTGCACTGTGTATGTTTGGTGCTGCAGAGACCGCATATGCAATCTTAATTTACTTTAAATATATAGGCTAGAATCATCAGTGTGACCCTCATGAGGACCAATGCTCCCATCTGTCCAAAAAGAAAAGACATCAGAATTCCATTGGGCACTCAGTGGACCACACTACAAGAGTGGCAGTTTCTGGAATTTCATCCAACCACAAATTCTGTAGGTGTAACTGAGGAATATATCCTTGTATGCAGTAGTGTTGTAGCCATGTTGGTCCCAGGTTGTTAGAGAGACAAGGCAGTTGAGGTAAGATCTTTTATTCAACCAGCTACTGCTGGTGAGACAGACAGCTTATTTGTATCGAGAGAGAGATAATAGTAGTAACAGTAATAACATTAAGAGGTGGTAAGAGACAGTGTGATGATAGGTCCAAAGCAGAAATCAGATAACACAGTCTGAACAACAACAGAGGGCAGGAACAGAAAAAAAAAGTATTAACAAATAGGCCCAATCCAGAACACTGGATTTAAACTCTCTCAAACTATGGAGCCAAACTTCTCAGATCCCTCTGTATTTTTACTACTGACAGAAAACTAAATGCTATCTATTGTAAAAGCTCAGTGGGAATGCAGTCCTTTGAAATGTAGACACATAATGGTAAATTCACTGCACATCTCTCTGTCAACAGTGCAGTCATAATCTCAGCTCAGGTGATCACCTACAATATGACACACAACACTCATCATGGAGAAATCCCAAAATAGCTTGTAGTAAATGTGAAAAAAGGCCTCATGGAAACAAGAACTCTGCTAGTCACTACACGTGTGTTGCATATGCCATGGCAGATGCTATTTAACTTTCGCTAAGCAACATATGGCTTCTTACACTTATGTCAACTCATTCCCGCCCCCCTCCCCCTGCTGCAGTTTTCTCTCAGATACTTCCGAATTCCCAGTACATGTGACTGATACTCACATTTCCTTTCTCAGCCTCTAAGGCGGTCTGAGAAAATGCCTATAGTTTTACAATTCCTACACATTTAATTTCAGCTCAGAAAGAATTTCAAGATCAGGGCCTGATCACTGAAATTTTACAAAAGTTAAGCTTAAGTTTCGTAGATGTGAGGTTGCTGGTCTTAGTTAAAGCCCAGCTTAGCTTCAATGACTTCTTCAAGTTATCCATTCACCCAGCAGCTGTTCATTGCTATGGTATCAAAGTAGCTGGTATCTTTTACTTCATTCTCTGTTATGGTGGCAGTTTTACATTTCTCCGCAGAATTTCTCAGTGGACAAGAAAATAGTTCTTTAACTATTGGAAAGACCTGATACCTTCAGACTAAAAATGAATAACTTTTACTGCACACTCACTGTGACCAAACCTTGAAGCCTTGTTTGACCTGTCAGTCGGGCTAAAGGCTGATCCATTTTGGTGGAATTTTTTCTTAAATAAGGACTGCAAGACTGCATTTGTCATATGAGCCAGTCTGCACATTCCATGATTATTTACTGTTTTTATTGCAGTAAATAGGGATGTTAAGAGGCGGGGTAATCCCCTAATTGTGTAGTCAATAACAATTTTATAGACTACATGATTAATCAGTAAGGGAAGGCTGCTGCAGCTCCACAGTTTAAATGTAGTAAGAGCCAGATGTGCAGGCAGCCCAGCTCCTACTACATTTAAGCTGCAGTGGAGGTAGGTCCCGGACTCAGCACAAGCCGGGACTGAGCTGGGACTGCTCAGGGTCACAAACAGGGGCTGCTGCCAGATAGAGGCAGCAGTGGGGAGGCAGGCAGCACTGCAGAGACAGTGCTAGGGGGAACCGGTTTTTAAGCCTGATACAGAGGCAGCGGTAAGGGGGAGGGGGAAGGAGAATAGTTGAATAGTCGACTACTTGCTTACATCCCTACCACCCGCATCAGGAATATGTTAAATATTGTATAACTTTTACTTAGTTTAAGTAAATATATTTCTTCTGCTGAAAGCTATCCCTATGGGAAAAATAATAAGCATAAATAGAGCTCATAAAGAGTTAAATTTGTGCTTCTTATAGTAATTTAGCTAAAACCATATGAAACACAATCTTTTCAGAAGCAAAGCTTATTTTACTCATTTAAAAAATTAGCACTAACTTTTCATTGCCCTATCAACAATGCCATTTCTACAGGATGGAGGAATTACTCATAGGAGACTATGAAATAAGAGAGGAAAAAAGTAACTCACCATAGGAAACAGGACATATTCGCGGAGGAAATCATGAGATTCAAACTGATTACAGTCACCAAAATCCGCTGGAAAAACAACACCACATTTACTCATATTACATAGCACTTTCCATGGATATTAAAACCTGGACCTTATGAACCTTTGATTCACATGCTTAACTTTAAGTATGTGAATTGTCCCACAGAAATCAAGTGTTTATAGAATTGAGGTCTTGAACAACAGTTTAAAAAAATCTTTTTTTCCCCCATGTCCAGGCCTGAGATAAGGGCCTAAGGACAGTTAAAGACGGACCTGTGCATAATTAGGATTTGTCTTTACTACCTGGTGGATTGATGCTGCAGCAATCGATCCATCAAAGGGCAATTTATCTTGTCTGCTTAGACGTGATAAATCGACCACCAAGAGCTCTCCCGTCGACTCCGATAGGACGAGAAGTGTAGCTGGAGTCGACAGGAAAGCAGCCCCTGCTTATCTTACCACATGGAAGACACTGCGGTAAGTATGCTGACTTAAGCAGTATTACTGGCATAGCTGAAGCTATATAGGCTAGATTGACAAGAGGAAGGAGCAGAGGGCCTGACACAAGCAGCTTCCCCTTTTGTCTTGCCATTCCAGGGCCAGCCTCAATTGAAGTGCCCCACTCCATGAAGCAGGGCTTGCCAAAAGCTGGTCCAACACTTTATTTTCTTATGCTAGTACTTCCCTCTCATTTGCCCCCTCTCACCCTCTATCCATTAGGGAGCTGAAACAATCTTGGCACTCACAGCATTGCTCTTAGTCATGTACAGGCAACACCCAAAAGATAATTATTGTTCAAATGTTCTTAAAATAGTGCAGTTTTGAAAGTGCTTCCTAAAAATTAAAATGCTTTTTCTAACATACACAAAAATTATGTCTATATTTATCTATTTGTTAAACACACAACAGCTTATAACTAAAGAATGAACTTGCTGGAAGGTTATTTTATTTTAACTGAACCAGATCAAACATCATTTACAAAATCTAGTATTTTAGAAGCTGGAAATCCCTACCATAAATCACATTAGAAAAACATTTTTGCAAAGCTTTTAGACAATTTCATGTAATGCCAAAGATGCATTTTCATTTTTTTTACCTCACAGAGTTATGTTTCAGAAACAGGGAATTAAAATGGACATTAAAATACAAAATATGCAGTTAAAAATAACGGTGTGTCCGCCAAGTCGATTTAGTGGATCATGCAAAAGATCAAAGACAGCACTACAGTGTTAGGAGTAAAACAACAAAAACTAGAATAAATGTCCAACACAGCTATCAATCATAATAACAGATTTTGCAGAAAATTCAAAGCAAAATAAGTGATTATTACTCAAACCATTTATAGAGACAGGAGAATGGACAATTGTATGGTAAGAGATGCCTGCACAGAGCCACTGGAAAGGCCCCAAACTGAGACAGTGGAATTTGATTTTGTGTCTGTCCATCACCAATTCTTCACCTTACACTGTAGGAAAAACCACTTAAACCACACTGCAAAGCTCAGGATGAACATATATTTCAGCCAATGGTCAATAGAAAAGATTAGGATTTGCTTCTGAACACCCAATAGGGCATTACAATGGTATTTCTACCAGGATTTGTAAAAATATTAACTTCCTCAATATTACTACTCTTTACCTATTCCACAGCTTTCATCCTGGGCTCTCAGAATGTCCTACACAGGTGGATACCAGTATTCCTACCCTAAGGCAAAGAGTAAGTTAATGACCTGGTGTTCAAGGTGATGAGACTCCACAGTTCTCACTGATTTCAGTAGGGATGAAAGATGCTCAGTAGCCTTTAGGCAACTGAGTGGCTATCAGATGAGGTAATACACATGTTCTCTACTGCCAGGTCCTTGTTCTAATCACTAGACCATGAAGAAGTGGAAGTTCCAGGTCATAAATTAAGCTCTAGAAAATTTCATCTCAGCAACAGAATGCTTCACAAGTCAGTAGAAATGGGATGATCACATGTTCAAATAGGGACCCATTGTACCACAAAAAATCTTTCATTTATGAAAAGCCAGTAACTGTGTCTTAGCTACTGTATATACAATTACCTGATTTTAACATTTACATCTGAATTCCTTTCAGCAAGTACATCAGATGCATCAGGTTATGACATTGTATCATTAAGGTTAATTTTGAACTAGACAGTCTGAGAGACATTATAACTTAAAACATATTTATTTTTCCATATTGTAGGTATTCTTTTTCTCTCTCTCCTTGCTAGGCCCAGAGTAAAATCAGCCAATAGTCAGCTGTAAATTAACAATAATCCACTTAACAAAAACCACTATTACGTACTCTGTAGTACTTCTAATAGTAAGTGAGGCAAAGTGAATTTTAAATTCAAAGCAAAATTAAAACTTCTAGTTTGGCTGAAAATGGAATTACTCTGAAAATAGAATTTGAAAAACAGTCAGCTCCCATCTTTTCTGCAAAGTAGTCAACTATTACTGAAAGAAGAATCTAGATTTGTTGGTTGTTAATTCAGAAAATCCAGTGTTGGAGCTGAAAAACGTTTACATGTACTTATGATCCAATCATTCAACACCTGAGAGTACAAGTAATTCATCATCTAAAATTCAATTCTACTCCTACTGAAATCAATGGAAAGACTAATGATAATTAACATGTATTGGACTGGGCTTAATTAGTGTCAAATAAATACTTAGAATTAACTGTAGAGAGCAAAGTTGGAAGAGGACTAGCAACTAATTAAACTTTACCTTGCACAGCTAAGCCAGCCAACCGGATCCCCTGATCCAATGAAGAACGTAATCGACCATCAAGAACATCTTTTTTCACTTGTAGGTAATACTGATACCTGTAAGTAAGTGAAACAAAACAAGACATACTTGAATATTCTCTACAAAATGAAGATTGCTGAAGATACAATATTTTGCATAGATTGTATACAATTGCACTGTGTATGTTTGGTGCTGCAGAGACCGCATATGCAATCTTAATTTACTTTAAATATATAGGCTAGAATCATCAGTGTGACCCTCATGAGGACCAATGCTCCCATCTGTCCAAAAAGAAAAGACATCAGAATTCCATTGGGCACTCAGTGGACCACACTACAAG